GTATTGAGGTTTCAAATCTTTGGGTTTTTTTGTTTAATCATTCTCATATACTTCGATTCAAGTTAGATAGATTTAGGTTAAAATCTAAATCCTAATAGATGAGATTTTTTTGATAAATCTAATAGATATGAGATTGTTTCCTCAAACGCGTTGATTGCTTATATTTTTTACCATGATTTGTTTGTATTAACTTTCCTTTTCCCCCTTTGTGACACAAATGATATATTCGTAATATTAGAGTGTAAGATTTTCGTTGGTGGAAGATCTATAGTATTTAACATTTTTTGGCGTCGCATTTAGTATTTTACATATGCATGTACAAATACACCCAAGTACGACGAATACTTCATGAAAATACCAAGGATCAAAACGTAAAATAAAAAATACACGAGCCACATATGAACAATTTATGAAATCTAGCTAATTTTCTAAGACAATATATTTAGAAATGGATCTTGAGAATCAAAGTTATGAAGGCATAAAGAGATACACTTATTAACTAGTTTGATTTGTCTTATTTTTTTTTGTGGATCTACAAATTTACAGAAGTGATGGTGAAAGTTACAAAGCTTGTAGCTTCTCGTCCGTGCGTTGTCTTCGCAGTACTGGTAATGTTTGTTTCTTCTAAATTACTTTTTATCATTGTTGTATATATGTCTTTAAACTTTCTTTTTTGTTTACGAATCAAAAGGAAACAAAAATATATATTAATGGTTCTACTTTCTTTGTTGTTCTTAATCTTGTTTAGCAATCAGATGATAATCTAGTTTTCTTTTTTTGCGGTAGTGTTTTAGGGTTTAATTTGTTATGGATTTTTTGAAGAGTTACGGACTTTCTTCCGATTAGTTACGTGGGGTTTGAATTCTAGTGATTTTTTGGTTTTTGCTTATTTACGTTCAATTGTTTGATGTACATTTTGTGAATAAATTTTAGGCAACTCTGGTGATTGTTTTCGGGTGCATACCGATCACGAATTGGCAAGTAAAAACGGAGGATATAGCAGACGATATAGCTTTATTCACTGACGAACTCCGGTCAAGTCTAGCTTTCGAAATCAAAAACATCGGAAAATTCATATATCCGAAGATAAATTCATCTACAATCGGTTTAGCAAGAGTTATAGATTCTTATCTAACCAACAACATTACTCTTTTCACAGAGATTCAAACAAAGGTCATTTCATTTGATTGATTTTGTACTTTCTTATGATTAATTTGAGTTAATTATTACACAACTATACATTTTCTTCTTTTTTTTGTTTGTAATTATTATTGTTCTTCAGATTGCACCAGTGTTGTTTCAAGCTTACTCAACGATCCCTCAAGTCTCACAAGTTTCGTACATTAGTACAAACGGTCTCTTGTTTTCTTACATCACAGAATTAAACAAATGTGTAGCGGTTTTCGCCAATTCTTCGTCAAATTCAAGTGATGGATCCGGAGACTACACTTGGTACACTCAAACCGTTGATCAGTTAACCGGTCGTCTCACCGGTAATGCCATCAAGTCTCAGCCTTTAAATGTAACCAATACAGATTGGTTTCAAGCAGCACAGAGAAATGACATAACCTCCTTTATCGGAACGGGGTTGAGAAGAGAAGATAACGAGACCCTGTTTCAGAACGCGGTTAACTTGTACAGCAAGAAAGGAGTTGTTTCGTTAGGGTTTCCTGTTAAATCCTTAACAGGTTTCTTGAACGGTTTGCATCTTCACGGTGGAGAGCTTTACTTGTGGACTAAGGAAGGGACGGTTTTTGTTCGTGAAAATTCACTGATCAATGCTACTTTCTCTATCTCCAATGGCTCCATTTGCTTTGGTAGAGAATCGAAATCAGTAAGGTCTCAATGCATCCCTGAAAATTGCAGTTCAAATGGCTCCGAGGTAGAGATCAAAAGATTAAAATTCCAAGCTTTTTGCTCTGTTCTTGAAGTTTCCGGTGTGCCTATGGTAAATGTTATATTCACATTTTATCTCACTTTTGAATGGATTAGATTCAATCACTATGTATCTGAGCTTCTTTCAATTGTGTGTGTTTTTTTTACCAGAGATACACACTAATGTTTCCCAACAAAGGAGGAGTAGCAAGCATCAAGAAAGACGCTAACGGGGCGCTGTTTCTGCTTATTTGTGTGACAATCGTATATGCATTGTTGTGGCCTCTAGGGTTTGTGTGGTTTATGCGGAAAGCATCAAGAATAGAGATGCATCTACGTGCAACTCTGATTAACCAAATGGAAGCAACACAACAAGCTGAGAGGAAAAGCATGAACAAGAGTCAAGCGTTTGCGAGAGCTAGCCACGATATTAGAGGTGGCCTTAGGGTAATCGATGGTCTGATGGATATATGTCGTTATGAAGTTAAACCTGACACTGAGCTAGACACAAGTCTTCAACAAGTTAAAGTATGCACCAAAGATTTGCTTGGTAAGACTTCTGATTCACTTTGTAATTTGTTCCTCTGTTTGATCACTTTGTCACTAATAGAAACTCTTGGTCATGTTTGTTTAAAACAGCCTTGCTTAACTCTGTATTGGACATGAGCAAAATCGAAAGTGGGAAGATGCAGTTAGAGGAAGAAGATTTCAACTTAGCAAAGCTACTTGAAGACGTTGTTGATTTTTTCCATCCTGTTGCAATGAAGAAAGAAGTTGATGTGGTTTTGGATTTGCACGATGGATCGATTTTCAAATTGTCGAATGTGAGAGGAGATAGTGGCAAGCTCAAGCAGATTCTTAACAATCTTGTTAGCAATGCAGTCAAGTTCACAGAAGACGGACACATTTCGATCCGAGCTTGGGCTCAGAAGCCGGGTTCCACGAGCTCCGTGGCCTTGGCATCGGATCCTAAACGAGGTGTATCGAAGTTTGTAAAGTCTATGTTCAGGAAGAATGAAAACGAGTCATCAACCTATGATAAAGAAAACTCGAATACCATAAGAAACAATGCGAACACGATGGAGTTTGTGTTTGAAGTAGACGATACAGGTAAAGGTATACCTATCGAGATGCGTAAATCGGTGTTTGAAAACTATGTTCAGGTTAGAGAAACAGCTCAAGGACAACAAGGAACTGGATTAGGACTTGGCATTGTGCAGTCTCTGGTAAGAAACCTAAACTTGAAACACAAGCAAATGCAATTTAGTAACTAATCAATGCTTACATTTCTTGTTTTATAGGTAAGATTAATGGGAGGAGAGATAAGAATCACAGAGAAAGCAATAGGAGAGAAGGGAACTTGTTTCCATTTCAATGTGTTATTGACAACCTTAGAGTCTTCTTCAGGAGGAGGAGACATGAAAATGAGACAGGACATAGAAGCAGGAGGAGATTACATATCAACACCGAACCTCGGTTTGACTATAAACACTTCTATGGGAGGTAGTAACATGAACATACGGAACCTGAGTCCTAGATTCAACAACTGTCTAAGCTCGATTCCGAAACAGGAAGCTTCTAAAGTGGTTCTTTTATTGAAAGACGAAGAACGGAGAAGAGTTACAGAGAGATACATAAAGAGTTTGGGAATCAAAGTTACAGTGGTGGAAAAATGGGAGCATTTGAATCATGCCTTAGAGAGACTTTTTGGTTTCTCACCTCAGAGTTCAATGGGAAGAGGAGAGTTTAGTTCGCGAAACGAATTATCAAGTTCGAGCTCAAGGGAGTTACCTTTGATTGGTATGGATGGTATTGATTCAAGTACCCAAATTCCTAAAAGGAGAAGCAACAGTTTCTCGGCAGTTGTTCTTCTTGTGATTGATGCGAAAACCGGACCATTTTCTGAGTTGTACAACATTGTTGAACAGTTTCGTAGAGGCTTGCACCATGGCATATCTTGTAAAGTTGTTTGGCTTAACGAACCAAGCGGACGCGGAAACGAGAGTGGGGACATTACTTGTTTGAAACCATTGCATGGATCGCGTCTTAACCGAGTGCTGAAGATGCTACCTGAACTTGGAGGAACTGAGCCAAAAGAAACAACACCAACTGAGCTGCAAAGAGAATCACTACTAAGACCTTCTCTTATTGCAGAAACATCACCAATACATAAAAGCTGTGAATTCCAAGAAGACGGACCAAGTTCAAGGTACAACAAAAAGCTAGGCAAGACAATAATGGCACCTACAGGGTGGGTCAATTCAGTGCGTAGTCGAAAGCCTATCGAGAACACTGAGGACGAGCAAGGAACTTCCAAACCGAAGACTATTGAGAACACAGAGGACGAGCAAGGAACTCCCAAACCGAGCAACGATGAGCTCTTCTTAAGAGGAAAGAGAGTTCTGGTGGTTGATGATAGTCCAATAGCATCTAAAATTGTAACCGCAAAGCTGAAGAAGATGGGAGCATTTGAGGTCACACAATCCAACAATGGAGAAGAAGCTGTGAGATTAGTCAGTCAATGGTTTACACAAAGAGAGCAACAAGATTCAGTAAATAGTACACTTCCTTTTGACTACATATTCATGGATTGCCAGGTAAAATGATCTAATGAATAAGCTTTCTCTGACACTAAATATAAAAATGGTTAGCTCTTGATAATATATTCTTTATACACAGATGCCAATAATGGATGGATATGAAGCAACTAGAGAGATAAGGAAAATGGAGAGAAAATATGGTGTGCATATACCAATAATAGCTATTTCTGGTCATGATCCTGATTCAGAGGAAGCAAGAGAAACCATTAAAGCTGGAATGGATGGTTTCTTAGACAAAAACCCGAGTCAAGACCAAATTGCAAACGTCATTAGAGAAATCGAAAGCAAGAAGACTCTATCTATTTAAGTGTTATTGCGAATAATACCATTTACTGGTTTTCTATTTTCATATGCATGTAGAAATGATGCCAAATAAATATATTA